AGCCCAAGTTCCCCAGCCACTGTGGCTGAACCCACAGCCCCAGTGAACACAAAACCGGTAGAGGAGCAGCCTCCATACCACAGCCCTGTAGGCAGCAGTAGTGTTGGCATTGGACAGTCTTGCCCCATCTTCAGTTGTAGCTGAGCTTGTACCTCTGGAGAGCTTTGTAGCTGTGTCTGTGGCCTCCCAGCCATACTGCATGGGCTTGTGAGCCCTGCTCCACTCCCACCCACTACATCCCTCCACCACAGTGGTAGTGCTTGAGGACCCAGGTGTCCCAGACCCAGCTCTGGCACCCGCCACTCTGCCTACAAATTCCATGACCACAGTGGCACCACCCTCCACTGCAGAGACACAGGTAGCATCCTGGCACGAGCAACACTGAAGGCACAAGTAGCAGAGATGAGGAGGCAATATCTTATGGAATGTATAGCGCCATCTACTAGAAAACAAAAGAACGAACTATAATTATTATCCTCTGAATTGCTAAAATCAAACTGGTACCTAAATAAGAAAGGTGTTCACTATCTCAAATGCACCAGCAGAGGAACAGCCCGTAAACACCATGAACAACCAAGATAACAGGGTATCACAAAAATAATACAGTAATTCTCTAGTAACCAAACTCAGAGGCATGGAAGACTATGATCTAAATGATAGAGAATTAAAAATAGCTGTCATGTAGAAATTCAATGAGATGCAAAAAAACTCTAAAAAAGGGAGTTCATTGAACTCAGAAATAAAATTAATAAGCAGAAGGAGTACTTTACCAAAGAGATTATTACTCTCGATAAGAACCAAACAAATTCTGGAATTAAAGAACTCGGTGAGATGAAAAATTCCTTAGAAAACATTCGAAGTAGATACTAAAAATACAGCAGAAAAAGTCAGTGAAGTAAGGAGCTGGTTCTTTGAAAAGATAAATAGAATCGACAATTCTTTAGCTTCACACACTGAGGAAAAAAGAAAAGACAAATAAAATTAGAAATAAAAAGTTAAAATGGATATCACAGAAACATAAGGCTTATAAAATAATACTATGAAAGGCTATATGCTACCAAATTGACAACCTAGAGGAAAAGGATAAATTCTTGGACTTATACAACCTTCCTAGACTGAATTAGGAAGAAATAGAAAATCTGAGTGGACTGATCACTATCAAGGAAATTGAAACATTAATGAAAAACTTTGCAAAAAACAGAAATCCAGGATTGGATGGCTTCACTGGTGAGTTCTTGTTGGGGACCACTTTGTGTGGTATCGGAATTGTACCCCGACACGAGCAAGGCCCTGCCTGTAAGCCTCGACTGGAAAGCCAGGAAATCTGGGAGGGAGACATGACCCAATATTAGCACCAAGGTTCCAGGGGGAAATCTGACCTAAAGATTGCATTATATTTACTGAAGCTTGCTCTGCTTAGTACTGCCCTGATCAGGAAAAACCAGGTGCATAACTTCAAGACAGAAGAGAGAATTCCTGAGTCCTTGGACCATGCCTTAATGAACATCTGGCGTCTGTATATCTGACAGACCCTAACCCAAGGCTGATGTAAGTGTGCCTTTTGTTGTTATCTATAGCCCTCAGAAATAGATTGATAAGCTTTGCATGCATGTATGCTGTATACCCCTACACATATTGTTCTCATTAAAAGCCATTTCAGAGAAGGGCTTGGAGCATTCTCCACTAGAGGGAATTGCCACCCCCTTTTCCTGGCAGTCACAGAGTGTCTGGAATGAATTATTTCTTCATCTGCAGCAGCTGGGGGGACTCTGCGGGGTGGGGTACCCCTTCAAGTTCTACCAAACATTCAAAGGAGATTTAACACTTACCCTTCTCAAACACTTTCATAAAATTGAAGAGGACTGAATGCTTCCTAATACATTATATATAAGGCCAACATAACCTTGGCACCAAAAGGAGGCAAAAATAACACAAAAAAAGAAAACCAGCATTTCTAGTGAATACAGAAGCAAAATCCTCAACATTTTGTAATAAATACAACGTGTATTAAAGAGATCATATACCCTGATTAAATAGGATTCATTCCAGGGATGTGAAAGTGGTTTAACATCTGCAGATTAATGCATGTGATATACCACATTAACATAATGAAGGGTAAAAATTACATGATCCTCAATAGATGAAGAAAAATCATTTGACAAGATACAATATTCATTTACAATATGAACTGTGAATACAGTGGGTATATAAGGAAAGTACCTTAGCATAATAAAGGCCATATATGACAGACCTACAGCTAACATCATACTTAATGATGAAAAACTGAAAACTTTTTTTCTAAGATCAGCATTAAGAGAAGGATGCCACTTTTATTCAATATAGACTGTCAGCCCTAGTTCAAGCAATTAGGCAAGAAAAATAATAAAGGGCATCTAGGTTTGAAAGGGACATAAAACCATCACCATTTGCAGATGACATAATAGAGAAAAATTTAGTAAAGACTCTACCTCAAGAAAACTATTTAAATAGTAAGTGAATACAGTTTGTAGCAAGGTACAAAATCAATATACTAAAAATGAAGTATCAGAAAGAGAAAGAAGAACACAATTCCATTGACAATTGCAACAAAAAGAACAAAATACCTAGCAATAAACTGAACACAGGAGGTGAAAGATCTTTACACTGAAAACTACAAACCATTGTTGAAAGAAATTAAAGAAGCCCACAAAAATGGAAAGATACTCTGTGTTTGTGGATTGGGAGAATTAACATTGTTAAAATGCTCATTTTACCTAAAGCAATCTACAGATTCAGTGAAATCTCTACCAAAATATCAATGGTATTTTTCACAAATGTAGAACAAAATATCCTAAAATATTATGAAACTGCAAAGAATCCTGAATAGCCAAAGCAATCCTCAGAAAAAAAGAACGAAATCAGAGGTATCACACACTCCAGTGTGAAACTATACCACAAAGCTGTAGTAATTTAAACAGTTATGGCAGAAAAACAGACCTATAGACCAATGGAAAAGAGTTGAGAGCCCAGATATGAACCCACACATATAACGACAATTTGCTACAAAGGAGCCAAGAATATACAATGAAGAAAGTCTTTTCCAAAAGTGGTGCTGGGAAAACTGGACACCATGTGCAAAAGGATGAAACTAGACCACTATATTTCACCACACACAAAATTTATCCCAAAATGGATTAAAGATTTGAATGTAAGATGTGAAACAATAATATACATAGAAGAAAAATAGGTAATAAACTTAATGGACATCAGTTTTAGTGATATTTTTGTGAATTTGACTCTAAAGGGCAAGGGAAACAAAAACAGGACTACATCAAACTAAAAAGTTTTCACACTGCAGAGGAAACAGACAAGAAAACAGAAAGACGAACCAACTGAATGGGAGGAAATATATGCAAATATTTTCAATGAAGGGTTAGTATTTAAAATCAAAAAAATTCCTACCACCACCACTACAACAACAAAACCTGATTAGAATGGGCAGAGTACCCAAATAGACATTTTTTCTAGGGAAGACATACAGATGGCAACAGGCAAGTGAAAAAATGTTCAACTTTACTAAATATTAGGGAAATCCAAATCAAAACTGTACTGAGATGTCAGCTAACATGTGTTAGAATGGCTATTATTAAAAAGACATTGGAGTGGATGTGGAGAAACGGTAACCCTACACACTGTTGGTGGTAATGTAAGTTGGGCAGCCACTGTGGCAAACAGTATAAAGGTTCCTCAAAAAATAAAGAATTACCAAATGACCCAACAATTCCTCTTTTGGGTATTATCTGAAGAACATGAAAACACTAATTTGTAAAGATATATATGCACCACTATGTTCATTGCAGCATTATTTACAGTAGCCAAGTTTTGGAAACACCTATTGAGAGATGGATGGATAAAGAACATGTGGTACATCTACACAATGGAATACTACTTAGCCATAAAAAGATGAAATATTGCCATTTGCAATAAGGATGGATCTCTAGAGTAGGATGCTAAGTGAAAAGTCAGATGGAGAGAAAGACATAGAATATGATTTCAGTCATAGGGAGTATAAAACAATATAAAAACAAAATATTGATACAGGCAACAGACTGATGGTTACCAGAGGGGAAGGGGTTGGGGGTAGGGCTTAAGGGGTAAAGGGAATCAAATGTATGGTGAAATTGGAAACTAGACTTTTTTGTGGGGAGCATATAATGGATGTTAAATTATAATGTGAAACACCTGGAATTTTTATAGTGTTATTAAACAATGTTACCTGAATGTTAAAAAAAAAAAGTCTTCTGTGCACAGTATTTAAAAAATACTTTTGGTTACTGCTTTCTACTGTTAACAGTAGAGGAATATAAACCATGTCAAGAATAACAAGCATTCTGAAAATTATTGCCCTTTGTAGTACAGGTGGATATTAATGGTACAGTTTAACATGTTATTTTTTAAAATGATATTTTGGTTATACAGAAGAGTTTGTCATTTAAAGGCATTTGATATTGACTCCATTTAAGTGTACACTTACTGATCACATCTGGAAAAATAATCCATTTTTCCAAATTTTTCTGGACCTTTTTTTTTTAAGACCAAAAGAAATAAAGATATGTTTGAATATAGAAATACTTGTATTTACTCTTTGTAAGGAATACAGGAAGAAGTATCTGATGGTGGTTAAATATCTGGACTGTGAGCTCAGATGACCCATGTTGCCTCCAGCTGGCACAAGTTGCAGCACCTGTCTTAACTCTGATTGTCTCCTTTAGAAAATGAAGAGAGTACTAGTACCTTACTGAATCGTCAGAATTAACTGAGGTAGAATGTATAGAATATTTAGCATATTATTTAAAAGAGAAAGCTCTTAGTGTTATTACTACTAAAATTCTCTGATAACTTCTATGTTCAATAAATATTCATTTTAAATTAAGATTATTAAATCATGGGATTAATTTAAAATATGGGATATACTTTTACATCATATATAATTTTTTCTCTAATCAGTATTTTTGTTTTAGGTCACTTTTCACATCGAACCATATAGCAATCGAGATGATCAAAACATGTACGAAAATGTCAAATATATTATAGACAAGTGAGTTTCTTCAGTGTCTGTAAACTAATTTTGTAATGAATATTGCAATCATTTTGAGGAACATTTCTGAAGTTCCTTACAGTGTCCTTTCTGTATGAATAAAGATTGCCTTTATTATTTTACTTGTTTATTAGGCTATTTGTTTTCTCCATACCAACGTTTTAAATTGATACTATTTTGTAAATTTTATGTTTATAGAGATTTGTCTTTTTAAAAAAAGGCTCAGATAATGAAATGTGAACTGCTTTTATAGCAATGGGCTATTGCTATAAAATATTAGCCCACAGCTAATATTTATATTTAGTCTGATTACAAGTAAAGAATCTATTAATACAGTTTCATTTTGTTCAAGAGTGTGACGATAATAGTCCATGACAGATGCCATACTCTCACAAAGAAACTTGTCAGCAACGGTGGGCCATTTGTCACTAAGAAAAGAGCAGTTTATATATTAATGGAGAAAATGGGTTTTTCATGGTGTTAGCCAACATTTATAGACCTCAATATAAGCTAATTAATTTCTTGTTTAGTAATGTCTTAATGTATCTAGTATTTCATTTCCTAATGTATAAAATTAAGACGCATTTTTAAAAATTATTCTTCTATAACTGACTTCTCGGAGAAGGTGAACAGTGTATATAAACCATGGTTACCTTCATTTTCAATGCATAACTATTGTCTATGGCAAATGAACTGTTAATACTCATTCACTCTTAACCTATGTTTATATTCTAGATATGGAAATCATCCGGCCTTTTACAGGTACAAGACTAAGACCGGCAATTCTCTTCCTATGTTTTACATCTATGATTCCTATATTACAAAGCCTGAACAATGGGCCAATCTGTTAACCATCTCAGGGCCTCTGAGCATTCGCAATTCTCCTTATGATGCATTGTTTATTGCACTTCTAGTAGAAGACAAACATAAATATGATATCCTTCAAAGTGGTTTTAATGGAATTTACACATATTTTGCCACAAATGGCTTTACTTATGGCTCATCTTATGAGAATTGGGCTAGGCTAAAACTATTTTGTGATCACTTCCAACTATTATTTATTCCAAGTGTGGGCCCGGGATACATAGATACGAGCATCCGTCCATGGAACACTCAGAATACTCGGAACCGAATCAATGGGAAGTATTATGAAACTGCTCTGAGTGTTGCACTCCAAGCCCACCCCAGTGTAATTTCTATCACTTCTTTCAATGAGTGGCATGAAGGAACTCAGATTGAAAACGCTGTTCCCAAAAGAACCAGTAATGCAGTGTATCTGGATTACCGGCCTCATAAACCAAGTCACTATCTAGAACTAACTCGCAAGTGGTCTGAAAAATTCAGTAAGGAAAGAGCAATTTATGGATTAGATCAGCAGCTGCCTGTTTTTTAATGCATTAACATTTAATAATTACAGAAAGCATGTAATTTCAGTAAATGCCTTTTGTTTGAATTACAGAGAGAAAACTCTCAAAATCAGTATGCATTGTTGCTATTATCTTTTATAAAAATAATTGGTACTTTTTCAGAGGTAGTAATGTTATCATTGCCATCCTTCACAATGTTTTACTGAGAAAATACCTGTGAGAAACTGTGCAAAAACATTCCCTGTGCCATCATCTGCTAATTTTCTAACATTGAAATCCTGGTTTCATCGCAATTTAGTTTTTATTTCACAATAGATTAGTGCTTGTTACATAGAGTAGTTAGCACACAGTTAAATCGTTCTTGTATTCTGGCCCAAAGAAACAGACTTGTGTGTTTTCTATATATATTGAAGAAAAAAGACCTAAACGATATTGTACATATTTTATCTCTCAGATTTTCAATGATTCAATCAACTTTATTGTATTAAGGACTGGATTCTGGAAACTTTTTAATAATAATTCTTGAGAAAAATAAAATCATATACCTTACACCTTACTGTGAACCATACTGTTAGGAAGGCCTGCTTTCTGCAGTACAATATATATCATCATTTGCAGATTTCTTGGTTTCCTATAGCATGCTAGATGTTTGGATGTCTAACATTTCTGCTTTGCAATGCCAAATTCCAGATTTTAGAAGCTATAGAAAGTTCTTTCATAAAAGTTTATGATGGCTTCTTATTTAAGAAAACATAGTTGTTTCAAAAATTATTATGAAGATATAATGCCCCAAATATTGTCATTTTTAGAGTATGTTGTCAATCTTTGTTATTCTATTAATCATGTTTTACAGTTTAATCAGAGACCAACTGTTAGATTAAAAAAAAAAACTTGATACTGTTTTTGGATTGTCTTCATTTACTATTTTAAGCTATTTATACTAAAAGTAATAGAGAACATTTACTTAGCTTTTTTGTATGTTTTTAGGGACATAGAAATGAAAATTCCTTTATATCTTAAATTCATTCCTGAAGTTTAACATTTGATTAACACTTAATGATAGAAATAATATTCTATTTAAAAGACAACACTTTATTATATATAATAACATTCCAATTGTAAAACATTATACTTACATGGTTCCTATTAGGTTAAATACTTGTGGTCAGTTATTTGTCATCTTGTGACAAATTAATAACCTCTATGGTAAAAATGAATCTCTTTACTTTAAAAACCAGAGCATAGAATACATTCTATTATTATAGTTAGTAGTTTTAACTAGAATTGTAGTAAAAAATAATCTAATATATATGTTATTACATAAATATTATTTCTTATTTATTAAAGAGAAGCAATAGGGTAATAGTAAACCATAACACATATAAATCTTTAGAGTATAAAGACATTTGAAACAAATTAGCAGTGGAATTTTTGATAAAATAACCCGAGGATGAAATTTATTTTTAGGCAGTAGTTTTGAAGTAAAATAACATGTTTACAATTTAAGAATTTGCCACTTCTCAGAGAATGACCAGGACTCAGGAAATTAGTACAATAGTAATAACCTACTTCCTATAGGAAATTACAAGGGAAAAAAAATCTGTACTGATTGATATAACCAAGCATCTTCATAGGATCATTCATAGATATAACCTGTGGATTTTTTTTTTTAATATCCAGTTAGCCACTATATATTATTGTAGGGATAACTCTAAATACGTCATGTCTAATAATATTTTATAACATACCATGTTTTATTAAAGTTAGGGAAATATCCACTATGGAGGAATTTTTATCATTGTTTATACTGTATATTTGAACCCTCTATGATAGGAAATTAGTTTTATGAAATAGTTCTAATATTAAGGGGGAGTATATACGAACAAGGTCAGCGAATCCTCAACGCATGTATCACCCCTTCCTGTTCTGCTCCTGTTGCAGAAATAAGCTACTGCAGCTTATCTACTACAGTTTATGTCTGACCTCCGTCCTCTGTCGTGGTTCCCAACACATGACCCCAAGTAGCCAGTAACAATCGGTCAGATTTCAAAGTAACATAAAACAGATTTTGTCTTCATTGCAGAAAGTTGTCATCAGGGGAAGGATGTTTGGGCTCTGACTGCATACTGGTTTACTAATTTATAATTACATGAATATTCCTTTCCTCCTTAAAAAGTTAATCAGAATTATCTCTAATAGTTTTGTTATTCTTAGGGAGGAATGCTTTCAAACTCTTCCTCAGGTATTTGTTATAGTTGTTTTTACCATTAGACTAGAAACAGTTTAGATCATTATGATCACGAGTAAGACAGACCAAAGAATGATTTCCTAAATTTAAAACTATAGGTTTTGATTGAGTAAACTAAAATAACTGTTAAAAGAAAAAGCAGTGTAATATATGCGATTCATGAATCATAATGAATTATTTTATGATTTAATCAGTCCAATTGTATCCACTGTATAGAGACCAAATCTGTCCTTCTTTACTCCCTTTAAGGAAATAGTACTCTCAAAACCAGCTGTTATTAATGTTTATATCAGTTATATGCTAACATTTTTTGTTTTAAAGAATGCATACTAAAAAATAACTGTTTTGTTAATATAAGTAGTGAACTTTCATGTAATAAAAGCATACATAAAATATATTGTACCTTAGATACAAAAATCTATTCCTTTCTCTTTATAAAATGTTTTGTTTTATTTCTGGTCAACAGATGAAAAGTAGTATTTACTCAGTCTATATAGTTTCTCTATTTGAGGTAAGCAGCACTTACAAAGTAGATATCTTTAATTGTACATGCTTTTTAGATCTGTGAATCTGAGTTAAACACTCACAAAAACATTTCATTTTTTTTTTAGTTTGGGAGGTGTTGTGTTATTTTATCCTTTAGGCATAATCATATATTAGCTCTGACATCCTTTAGGAAATTGATCTTTCTCCAAAACAGCAAAAGTAACAAGCCACCTGAAAAACTTCCTTAGTTCATAAACTTGTATTTTTTCAGACTAATCAGTTATTCAAATAGTTTAAATCCTATGACTATTCTTAAACTCTATAGAGCTTATGGAAACAGTGCTTGAAATTCTACGTCTATATTTGGAATTAAGGTCAACAGTCTCATGTCCCATTGTATAGAACTATCTATTTACGACTAGCAAAATTTCAGTTATTTTTATAAGTATTTACAATTTCAAAATAAAAAAATTGATGTAGCCACAAGGAAAAGAGTTTTTTTGGTTCATGTTCCTGTTTTTTAAAAATGTACTTCAAATTAAATTTTATTCTTTGTTATATAGCCACATAAAAGTTAAATGTTATTGTATGCTTAATGTAAGGTTATTAAATTTGAAAATTTAAGGACTACTTTGGCTTAATTACTAAGACTAATTTATTCTTAGTCAAATCAAAAAACAAACTGGGTAGTTGTGCTATTCTATATCAGTGAGGGGAGAAGCATTTTCCAATATGATTAGCTTTTATTATTATACAATTACTATTTAGATTATGTCATCAAAAGATAAAATAATTTGAGACTTAATAAGCAATTAGTCATAAATCTAAAAACTTACCAAACTCAAAACATAGTGGCACTTTTTCTCCTGAATATACCCTAGACTTCATTTAAAAGCATCAGATATATTTCAATAAGAATTTCAAGTTCCTCAATTTGCATACAGAATTAATTAATGTAAACACAAAAGGCATTTTAGAAGCTACTACATTGAAATAACTTTCAAGACACAAAGCAATGATGTACCATGTAAGATAATTCTATGTATAATTCAACCTATGGTATATGATTATATCACCATGCTCTTGTGTTTTTATTTTTGACTTTTTGAAAGAATAGGATAGAAATCTGAGCAAAGATCATTGTAAACACCACAAAATAAAATGACAAATTTCAGCTATTGATAACATTTAAAATAAATACATTGTAACTATGTCTATACATAAATGTATTCATGAGTCAGTTTTACAAAAGGCATTATCAAATTACTATATCACTATTAACTTGATAATTGTATCTAATGTAACGTGGTCTTGACCATGATCTTGAATATATCAAATGCAAAATAGAAGAACATTGAGAAGATATTCAATTGTACTGTATGCAGTAAACTTTAGAAATTTATATGTTTGAACACAGTCACCCAGGAGTAGCATGCCACCACTTTTTTGTTTGTACATGCTAAATAAATACTTACTGAATACTGCTGCTCTACATATTGTTTTTTTAATTACCAGACTTGTATTAGTCATGTTGCAGACCTTTAAAATGGAGCCATCTAATCTCTGACTACATGTAAAAAGTCAACTGCAAATCTGATTACTGTATTCTTGACAATTTATTATGTTGCTATTTTTATTAATTAAAGTGAATTCTTGAAAATTATGCTCTTCACTTTTTACATATTTTATAAGGAAAATAATGACAATATGAACAGGAGCTGAGCACAAGTTCTATTTTATTTTTCTTCATATGAGTATTATATATTTGTAGTTAAAGACCTAATTTAATCCCCAAATAAAATATTTTGTTAATATACATTTTCTCATTTCATTTCTTAATTTGAGTCATTCTTAGAGTTCAGGTAGTTTCCTCTTACTAGAATATGTGTACACTAAGTTCAAAAAGGACTTGAAATATTTTACCCCCCAAAATATCACAGAATTACTAATATAATGATGGAATTTAAAAAATGCAGATACAGTACTAGTACATATGGTTAACTGCAAATTCGGTATGAGCTTCAGAGTAGTTAATGCGAGATACTACAATGGTACCTCAGTACTTGTTGCTAATTTATTCTGGAACTTGTGACAAGTGCCAAACCGACGAGAACTGAACGATGAAGCTTTTTCTCTTTCTGGGCAGCATCATGACTCATTCAAGTTCTAGCAAGTGCTTGAGTCCCGAGCAAGCGCTGAGGGCTGAAACATTTTTTTTCTCGTCAAAATGCAACGAGTACAGGGCTTGACATGTTCTGAAGCCAACAAGCACTGAGGTATGACTGTATAGTGTTCTTATTATCAGGAAAGAAGCACCTTCTTTCCTATAGAGACAAACTTTATTTTGTTGATACATTTTAAAACAAATTCCTCAAATAAACATTATATCCAGGGTCAAAATGCAAAAACCTACAGGAACCTCTCATGTAATGTAAATAACTGCATCAGGTTTAAGACTCTAGATAAAGTCCTTGGGACAGTGGACAATTTTCACCTAAAAGGAGTAGTTGTTAATCAGCTCCTGTCTGTTGCCTTTTGTAGCTAAAATGAGGATGCATTTATGTCTGTGCATGTAGGTAAATCTTTCTAATTATAACACTGGCAAATAATGCAAAGTTTAAAAAATACTTGCTGATGGGATTTATGTCATAGGTTGCTAATCTGTGACCTCTCATTACAAAGAGAGACTTTTAATAAAAATATTCTCAACATTTTATAGCACTCAAGGATTTCTTATGACTAGTCATTGTGATGATTATCGGATAAATTCTAAGTATATTACAATCAAAGACGAGTGAAAGTGAATTGATGAGGATTCTGAGTCTGTGTTGGCTTTCCTCAGGTCTTACTGACGCAAGATCAGAAATTAGAGCACCCCAGTAGGTGAGTTGGGTTCATGTCTGTTAGACATTCTTCTCCATTATTCCTCCCAGTTTGGTTTTTAAATAGTGATTTGAATTAATTTATATTCACCGATGGCTTTTATATTAGCCAGGATGCTTTTATTCTGTTGCTTATTCGATTTGAATCCATTTTTGAAGCCTAGCAAGTAGACAGAAAAAAAAAATAACTTACAAGTAACTGGGTTTAATTCTAGACCTCTTGAGTGCAACCTATTAATACTTTCTG